GGTTTCCTAAAAAACCACACAAAAAAATCACAATTATTGATGATGCTCTTAGGTGATAAATTGTAGGTAAGGATATATGATTGAGTCTTAGTAGTTGTTGATTGTTATACTATGAACCATGATTCATATTGCATTGTGCACCCTTGTCCACAAATTATGTGTATGTCGTTAACCCATTTTGTACCTTCAGTTAATAATGTATATACTTGTTGCACATTACATCGTAATTATGGACACATAACATGATAACTACAGAGACATAAATTGTTAACCGTAGGTACATAATATGGTAACTGCAGACACATAAGATATTAGTTAGCATGTTATGTGTATGTAGTTAACAGTTTATGTATTTGTAGTTATTATATTATGTGTATGTAATTACCGTGTGATGCGCGTTCAATTTGTTTAAAGTTTAACGTGCGTAAGTTTACATCTTAAGATGCGTAAGTTTATAGCTTAAGGTGTGTATGTTTAAAACTTAAGGTGCGTCACTTTCTAGTTTAAGGTGCATCAGTTTAACTCTTAATATGTGTATATTTAAAGCTTAAGGTGCATTATTTTTCAACTTAAGGTGCATAAGTTTATAGCATTAGGTGTCTAAGTTTACACTTTAAGGTGTGTAAGTCTAAAGTTTAAGGTGGGTAAGTTTATAGCTTAAGGTGCGTAAGTTTAAAGTTTAAGGTGCGTCACTTTATAGTTTAAGGTGCATCCGTTTAATCTTAAGGTGCATCCGTTTAAAGCTTAAGGTGCATTATTTTTCAGCTTAAGGTGCATACGTTCGAAGCTTAATGTGTGTCAATTTGAGACACTTGATCATTTGCATCCATGTTGCCAGGAAGCGCATTTTAAACTAGGTTTCTCATAATAAGTGTGGACTAATTTGATCTATCCATCTAGGATTATCAATGGCTAAAAAATGATGGGGTCAATTTTATAAATATTAGCATAAGGGAATCAATTTAGGGATTTTATGCATATATTTCTTTAAGGTAACATAACTAATTAGATTATTGTAAGATGCTTTTGAAAAAATATATTTTCATTTTTAAAAGTAACTGTGTCATTTATCAAAATCTTCCTAAAAAGGGGGAAAAATCAAACAATTGAGAGATACAAAATAAATAAGCAAGAAACTACCATATCTTTCTTGAAATTCAGGTGCATAGTGTAAGAATTTCAACCCTGGATGAGTTGCCAAAAGTTCTCCAAGCACTGGTTTGAGTCCACCTACAATCAATTTGATCAATTAAATATCACATTCTTGTTCACTAATTTTTACCATTTCTATAGTGAAATCAATGCATCTAGAAAACAAAAGCGTCAATGAATCACTTTGTTTTTGAGATTTTGCATATTTAATTTTTCCCTAGCACTAAAATGGAGAATTTGATGAAGCAAATTAAACTTTCTTTATCCAAAAGACTCACACCACTCGAAATATTTAGTACAAACCCTTATATGAGAGCTAAAGAATTGCATAATTAATATAAACAAAATTTCATGATTTTATGATTCCATGAAGCTTTTGCTGCATAAACCTAGCTTTAATCTACATACAGCTTGTCACGGAACAACATAACCAACATCATGTAGAACATGGATACTTACTTCACTAGAATTGATGCCACTGCCAAACTCATTCAACCTTGATATTGATTCTTTGATGTTGAAGTCACCAACTGCATCTAATTGGTTATCATCTATTGTGACTTCATCAACCTTGTGGAGTATTGAAGCAAACATAGGAGAAGAGGGAGTGACAACAGTCTCACCAGCCAAGATCTTTGATTCCTAAGACATTTAATTGGCCTGTACTATTTGCATCTTCAACCGATTCCACCACGATGAGTGGTGGCTCATGCTTAATAACAACAATGTTTCTGGTTCAATCCTCTATGTTATGTCAAATGCAAAAAGTTTTGTACAATTATAGTTTCATACGAACCAGATTTCAAGATTGATTCCTCCAGCGTTGGAAAATTTGTCGAGCTTTCAAGTGTTTTTTGGTTGGGCGATCAAATTGAAGGTAGTGTCCATCATTGGCTCCCTTTAGCTTAGTCATCCGCCAAATATAAGTGAAAGAGATACGCCGATGATATGGTTTTGCCCATTCTCTATCACTTCTTTTTGGCATATTTTCATCATTCAATTTGTGCAAGTAATACATACTCATTCTTCTGACACTATTAATGTTTGCAACTCATACAGCAAAGCCAATACCTTCAAATCCAATATAATTATGAATATGAAACAACAATCACCTAAAAATAACAATAATATTGTTGAACTATCTTAGATTCAAATATATTCTTTTTGCAAACTAGCAATAGTAAACCCAATTGAACATAAGACACCAAAAAAAAAAAAAAAAAAAAAAAAAAAAAGCGGACAAGCAATGAAGACGAAAACTATGACAAACCTATCCAAAATCAAATTAATTTAACAAAACTTAGAGTAATTCAAACTCAAAGTAGTATCTACTACCTAATACCATACCAAGTATAAATATTTAGATAATTGTTTTTAAGAAAGTGCAAACATTTATTTTAATGCTAACTATAAAGAATTTTTCCTATATAATATTGCATTGACATACTTTTTGAATTATTTATTTAAATACAAACATTGGACATTAAATCAGTCGCGTAATGCATGTTAAATATTATGGAGTAGTACACATATATGTATGTACAAATGTACAAGTAATGAGTCCATGTTAATTAAACTCCAGCTTTGGGCCTACTTGAGTGGACTCATCAAATTAAATTATTGTCTAAAATTTTACTCCATGCATCAATATAAGTTTTATCTCTCCATAAATTGTCGGGTCGAAATGTTAGAGCGTCTGGAGTAGACGATTTCACCTTTTGTCACCAAGATAAATTTTATCCTTAAAATTTGACATTTCAAAATTTGACGTTTTATCCATATGAAGTTGGCAATTAACTTGCATTAATTGACACTTTATTTATCTATAAATAGGCATGGTATACTATATGCATTAAAAAAGATACAGCAAAAAATGGCAGTAACGTGGGAATGATTAAAGAAAATATATTTTCTTTATTTCCTTAGGAAATAGGTGAAGGAAATTATTTCCTATTTTTTAATTTTGCGGAACTTGTTCTAATCGAAGTTTTGATACTTCTTTATAGAACATACATTGACAAATATTCTCTTGTATTTACTCTTATTATGATTGAAATTTGTCAAACAACCAAATTCAATTGTTACACATCCATTGTATCTCAAAAGTTCTTATCTGTTTGTCATATTGTTCTGGTAAATGATTAATAAGAAACTTTTAGAATAGTGAATCTAGTTCACGCCTTGAGGGTGCTATCCAACTTTATCCTCTTAATCCTTGTTCTTATCAGAGCATGTTCTTACCAAAGTAAAATATATAACAATCACTCGGACTCTCAAGGAGAATTTAGAGTTGAGAGGAGATGAAAGATTGAGAGAAGGAGAAGTGAGGAATATAGAACTAGACAAGTGACTATGCGCGAGAATGACGAAAAATTATTTAGGGCTTCCATTAATCCACACACGAAGTATATATATGGGTACAACTGTACAACTAAACAATGTCTGATATATCCGGGTTGGACTTCCATTTGGAAGACTATGAGTTCGAGTCTCAGTGGAGGCGTTATTGGTTCTTTGTGTTTCAGCAATCGTTATGCCTTGGACCCGTGTCCAGCATGCTTGCTGGACACGGGTAACAGTGCCGTTAGGCACTGTTATCTCCTTTTTTTTTTTTTTTTTTTTTTTTTTTTTTTAATTTCAGATCACTTTGTTATAGAAGTATATGTTCATAATTTTATTACTATATGTTAATAACTATACATTCATAACTCCATAACTGTACGTTCATAACTCTATAACTGTACATTCATAACGTCATAACTGTACATTCATAACTCCATAATTGTACATTCATAATTTTCGAAGCTCTATGTTCACAATTTTAGAGCTCTATGTTCATAATTTTATCACTATATGTTCATAATTGTAAGTTCATAATGTTAGAGCTCTTTGTTCATAATTCGATCAATAACTGTACATTCATAATTCCATAACTGTAGATTCATAATCTCATAACTGTAGATTCATAACTCCATAACTGTAGATTCATAACTCTATAACTGTACATTCATAATCTTCGAAGCTCTATATTCACAATTTTAAAGCTCCATGGTCATAATTTTATCACTATATATGTTCATAATTGTAAGTTCATAATGTTAGAGCTCTGTATTCATAATTTCATAATTGCATAACTGTACATTCATAACGGCATAACTGTACATTCATAATAAAAAAAAAAAAATAACGTCGTTAACGCCGTTAACAGCAAAATGCGCGTGATTTTTTTTTTTAAACTAAATGACACGTTTTTTTTTAAAAACGATGTCGTTTTGGGCCCGTGTCCACAATTCATTGTGGACACGGGTCCAGGGCATAATTTGCCGTGTTTCAGTAGGTTGACAAAGTATATGAACAGAGCTAGTAACTTTCAAAAAAAAAAAAAACAATGTCTGATATTTTAGATATTCAAACAGATCAGATCTAAAAACCAAAACATCCAACCCATAATCCACTACGTATTCATTTTCAATGTTCGGGTCAGCCGGCAATCATTATTGTATGGACCATGGTCCACACAAGTTGTGTGGACCATATTTTGTCTACTATAAAATAATGTACATTTAGTACAAAAATAATGTACATTCAGTACAAAAATAATGTACATTATATTCAGAGAATGTACATTATTTTTGTTCTGAGTGTACATTATATTGTATAATGTACATTCAGTACAAAAATAATGTACATTTAGTATATTAAAAATGTACATTTTATTATGGTCCACATAACATTGTGTGGACCATGGTCCATACAATAGTTTGCCGTCAGCCGGTCGGTGGGCCGGGTTATGCAGCACAACCGTTAACTATAAGTGTGATTGTGTGAACTGTGAAGTGTACATTGAACATTGTACACATTTTATTTTTTAAAATGTCAATGCAGTTAAGCATAATTATTGCAATAATTAAGGGTGTTCGTTGGTCTAAATTCAACCAGAAGAAATTGAACGGTCAATAAACTGCTGCTGAGCAAAAAATATCTCAGAATCGCTCTGCTCAGCTCAGTTCCTCGATCTCATCATCCATGGCTTCCTATGCTGTATTTCACCTACCATCATCTTCCTTAACTATAGCCTCTAAAACCCACCGATCATTGCGAGCTCAAATCTTCCATGCCTACAAGCCCCTTAGAATCGAGGCTTCTACTTCCCTCGACTACTCAAGCACCTCCATCTCCAATAAACCTCCCGCATCTTCTAAGGTATTTTTAAAAAAATCCAATCTTGATTATCAAATTTCACAAGTTATTTATTTAACCCTGCGATTTTCTTGCAGAATAGTACTTGGCAATGGAAGTATAAGGAGAACTCCGTGAGTATATATTATGAGGCGCATGAAAAGGAGGAGAAAGATGGGTGTTCCAAGAATATTTTGATGATACCAACTATTTCTGATGTTAGCACTGTGGAGGAATGGAGGTCAGTCGCCAAAGACATTGTAGGGCGAGATGGTTACAGGGCTACCATTGTGGATTGGCCAGGTTTGGGATACTCTGATAGGCCTAAGCTGGATTACAATGCTGATGTTATGGAGAAATTTTTGGTTGATTTCATCAATGCACCTGATGGTCCTGTAATCAACTCAGGTGAGTAAAAATGGTTTTTTTTTTTTTTGGTGCTTATGGAGTTCCTGAATTTACTCATAGATGATTGGAATTGGAATTGGAATTGGGAATGGAAGAAAGAGTTTTACTTAGTAGATGACTGAGGTTGTAGTTGTTAACTTGTTATTGTTTAAGCTCATAATACTGATTATCTGATGAGTCCTGGCATTCTTTTGATTATGTTCATGCTCCATAATTTCACTTTTTACTCAGCATTGTTTCTTGTTTTGTGAGGAATATATTGCACTGGTGAGTTTAATTTATTCTCTTGCTGTCAGAACAAGCAATTTCCTGATCATAATTTTCGCTCATTTTGTTTTACGGAGAGATTCCTTGTAGTCCATCTAGTATTATTTTACCTTATTTTGTGTTTGGATGGGTAGAGAGTGAGGGGAAAGAAATGGGATAAAAGGAAATGGATAGAAAATGCAGTGTTTGGATGAGAAAGTGGAAAATGAGAAGGGGAGAGGGAGGTGTATTGAGAGGGAAGAATTTTCACGTGGAGTGTGTTGAGAAAGGAATGAATATTTGATAGGATATGGGATTCTTTCTCCTTATAATGTTTTACTGACATTTTCACTCATCCAAACAAGAGAAACTTAAAAATTTTCCATTTCTTTTTCTCCCCAATTCTTTCTACCCACATAAAGTACTAAAGAGTTTGTATGAACCATGTTTATTTTATGGGAGTTATATAATGTATGGTATTGATTTGACGTATCTGCATATCCACTTTCTGCGTCCTTTAGAGTTTTAACAATGGCTTAGGCCTCCACACCAATCTGCTTCTGATTCCTTTCTGATACGCCCCCAGCCAAAATCTTTTGCCATGCCTCCTTAATATATTTCTTTTGCATCTCGACAACGTAGTTATCTAGAATCTTAATCTTACTAGATTTTTGGATTAGAAGTGTCCTCTGTAATACCTCTAAACTAATGTATTAGGTAATGACTTGGTGGTCATTGGAGGAGGGCATGCTGCTACTCTTGCAGTTCGTGCTGCAAAGAAGGGTTTAGTGAAACCAGCTGCCATTGCTGCTATTGCACCAACCTGGGCCGGGCCACTTCCTATTGTTTTTGGTAGAGATTCTAATATGGAGACAAGGTAGGGCTACGTTCCTTCTCATGTTCTTTTTTTAACTATCTCCGTATAGTATTAATTAGCTGTTAACTGATAGCTGATTACATGCAAAATGATTTTATCAAAAAGCTAATCGAAAAAGCTGTTTTGAGTAGCTTTTTGAATTTTAGCGTTTTGGAGCAATAAGTTGCTACAAAAAACTAATTAATCAAACACTCATATTGGCTGTTTAACTAAGTCAAACAGCTAATAGTGGTAAAAAAAGTTAAAAATCGGCTTATAAGTTAACTATGTTACCAAACAGGGTCTACATTAGGATTGATTACTATAAGCCATGTTAACTCCACTAATCAATTGGTGGATATTCTTACTAAGTCACTTAGAGGTCCTAGAATAAAATGTATTTGTAACAAGCTTGGCGCATATAACCTATATGCTCCAACTTGAGGGGGAGTGTTAGAGTACAAGAGCTATATCTTATATGAAGAGTCATATTTTTACAGTTCAAGTTCCTTGTATTTATACTTTGTTGTACCAATCATTCGAATCCATCAAATACAAGCATCTTTCTTAACATAAACTCTAACTTAAGGATCAATATTTTCCACTTTTTGAAAGTTGAGGGACTAATGCTATCCATTTTTTTTTTTTTAAGTCCAAGAGAAAAAATGGATGTGTTCTTATACTTGAGGGACTAAACAATTTGTTCTAGCTCCTCTCTTTCTTGACTAAGCTGATATTATATGTTTTCTATTGTTTCATTTGGTTTTTATTTTTCATGAATTCATAGGTATGGTCTTCTTAGAGGAACTTTTCGGGCTCCTGCTGTTGGTTGGATGATGTACAATGTACTCGTTAGCAATGAGAAATCAATCGAGTCACAGTACAAATCCCATGTTTACGCGAATCCAGATAATGTCACCTCAAGTATTATTGAGAGCCGATATGCACTTACAACGCGGAAAGGTGCTCGCTATGTGCCTGCAGCTTTCTTGACTGGTTTACTTGACCCAGTAAAGTCCAGAGAGGAATTTGTTCAACTTTTTGCGGGATTGCAAGGAGGGACACCCATTCTAGTTCTTTCAACTTCAGGCTCACCAAAGAGATCAAAAGCCGAGATGGAAGCCCTTCGGGAAGCCGAAGGTGTGAGCAAATATGTTGAAGTGCCAGGTGCTCTTCTTCCCCAAGAGGAGTATCCTGAGAAAGTTGCTGAAGAGCTTTACAGGTTTTTACAAGAGTATTTGAGCTAAAGACTGATAACCAGTTCAGAGGTAAACAATTTCCTTCTTGCTTCAGAGGTAAACAATTTCCTTCTTGCTTAGTAATGAAGATTAATTGTTTAACCCTTGTATGAGTATCACCTGTTTTATACACGACAGTTTTGTTTATACGAAAACATAAGCGAAAATATATCTGTATTTAGCGAGCCACTGAGCCATTGCTTGGTTGCATTAATACTTGCTACTCATGATATAAACACCTTTTCGATAGATGTTTAGTTTCACATCATTTCCACTGAAAGTAACAGTGCATAATTGTGGGAGAAAAATACAGGTAGTGTTCTTTGTGTGTGTGCGTATTCTTGTAAGCATTATTTTCAAATCAAGTTTTGATGCAGTTTTGACCAATAGATATATTAAGGGTGTGTTTGGAAACCTGGAAAATGACTTTTGAAAAATGTTTTCCGGAAAATGAGTCATTTTCCAGAAAATATTTTCCTTTCCGGTGTTCGGTTGCATTTCAGAAAACTGTCTTAGTGTGTTTGGATCATTTTCCAAAAAATGAACATAATTGTATTTACAAAATCAATATTATTTATAACAATTTTTAAAAAAGAGCAATGGTTTCATAATCTGGTTTCCAGCTTCGAAAATTTCTGGTTTCCAATGGAAACTAGTAAATGGTTTCTGTTGGGAAATCAGTAAAACTGCTTTGGGTTCCCGACGGAAACCAACGAAGAAGATGGAGAACAGGAAAAAAGTTACTTTGGGTTTTCCGGAAAAAGACTTCCCCCCTAAAAAAGGGAAGTCATTTTTCAGAAAATGGGCTTGTTTTCCTATTGGCCAGAAATCAATTTCCGTTGACCATCATTTCTCCCCCTTGCCAAACACTAGAAACCCGGAAAATGATTTTCAAAAATCATTTTCTAGGTTTCCAAGCACAGGCTAATGTTGTCGGAAGTGCTCCTCCCGGAAGAAGCAAATGCAGTGCTCCTTTCAGCAATAGTTGGCCGGAAAATTGGACGGAAGGACCAAATGTGATACAAATTACATAGTCACGCACCTAATTAAAAAATTTTAATAGTCAAGAACCATATGTGATTCATGTATAATAGTCAGAGGACCAAAAATGAAATTTTCCCATTGTTTGATGGTACAGGGAGTTCTCTGTTATTCATCCTAATACCTGAAATTGTGGTGGGATTTATGACTTAAATTAGTTATCATTTATGCCTTTCACTTCAATTCTGCCGTTCTAATTTCACTGCAGAATTGCCCGCATGGGCTTAACTCACTAGTTCAATAAGAAGTATTTGGGAGAAAAGACATTCGAAACTCGGAAGGGGTAGTGTGGGGATTATGTCAAAAATGGCCAAATCCTTTGTACGCTCCGACATTTGGCCCTATCTGCTGATCCATTGAGTTATTGTGATTTACATACTCCCAAATGCTTTGTCGAGCCAGGGTGTGGGGTCTTGAGTTGAGGATTCAACCTTTTGGGGAAGTTCTAATTTCTTCTGAAGGACTCTTGGGTAAATTTTCAGTTTCTGGTATTCTTGCCAGGCTGCCAGCTTATTAAGGCCAGTCTTGCATTTAACATGTGATCTTGTATTTGTTGTTTGTTTTTTGGTTTTTTTTTTTAAAAAAAAATCTTGCGAGTGAAAGCAAATTTGTTGTCCTTTTCGTCATTAAACATGGGAAACTTATGGTGTGAATAAATAAGGAGAGATTTTTCAAAGATGCCTTGCTACAACAGTGGGCTATAAATGAGCAACTGCTTTGTTTGAATTATATGGAACCATGGTACAGTATGTCAGTATCACCTCATTATCTGAACTGATGCTTATTAAGGTGCAAATTGTTTTGCAAAATTTAAGGTTTGATCTTGACAGGTTCTTGGACGAAACGGTGAAATTTTAGGCATTGGGAAAGGTCTATGAAATTGTTTCCTAATGTTAAGAGTCTCACATTGAAAAATAAAAGAGAAACATATGGGTTGACATAAGTTAGACTCGCTAATTGATTAGATTCAATCTTTTAATACAATTATAATCATCATGCTGGTTTGTTTCTTTCCACGGTGATTCAATGGCTCAGCAGACAGGGTCAAATGTTGATGGGCACCAGGAATCTGCCCGCTTTGGGCCATTTTGGTTTGCTCCTGTTGTCATTTTTTGATGGCAAAATCACCCTAAAAAGAAAATGTGAGGTAGATATCCTTTGGGTACGAGGTTTTTGTCTGACAACAGGATCTGGATAATGTTGAACATCCCATCCCATTCCAATGAGTGTAAAAGGTTGGATGATTCATTGGTCAAATTTCCGATCATATTTATGAATTGTTTTATTGTTTTGGTAGATATTACATCATACAACTGTCTATAAATTGTTAGCATCGGGTAGGGATGCAATGGGCGGGGTGGGTCGGAGAGTGCTACATCCATCACCCGACTCACCTTATATTTTCTCCACCCACCCCCACCTCTAATTTGCATCAATTGTTATGCCCTAGAACCGTGTCCACCTTGCAAGGTGGACACGGTTTTATGTTCATAATTACTGAACTCTATGTTCATAATTATAAAATTCTATGTTCAATGAACTTCATATTCACAATTATTGAACTTAATATTCACAATTACAGAACAATTACAAAACTCTATATTCATAATTTTTGAACTCTATATGCATAATTATGACAGTTTTGGAATCGTGTCCACCTTGCAAGGTGGACACGGTTCCATAGCATAATTTAACAACTTGCATCGAGCGGACTTTATCAAAATCTACCCCCATCCCACTGGGTGCGGGTGCCCACTTTGGGTACCTAATACTTATCATCTTATTTTTTTTTAAAAAAATATTTAAATTACTTACACATAATAAATAATAAAATTCATTAGTTATATTAAAACATAAAATAATTAAAATATTTAAATATAATAATTAAATTGTTAATTTTTAAAAATAAACTTAGTAGTTTAGATATAAAATAGTAAAAAGTTACACGAAGTTATAATTTTTTTTTATATAAATAACTATAAAAATAGTAAAAAGTTATCGCGGGTTTACTTTTTTTAAGACCCACTCCGACCCACCATCCACTATCACTAAAAAAATAAATAAATAAATAAATAAATAAAAAATGACCCATGCGGGAGATGGATATCCGCGGGGCGGATTGAAATTTTCATCCCTACCATCAGGTAAGTCTTGATAGTTAAAGAAAAGGAGCCCGAGGTTTAGCGTAGTTGGTTCGTCGCTTGATCTAAAAGTCATGGCGGCAATGTGGGGTTCAAATCTCACTGGAAACATATATGGAAAAATTGGCACAAGAATGCCATAATGTTTGGATTGGATTTCTTGTGTGCACATGCAGACTAGGATTTGATTGAAATTTACACACACAAATAGTAAATATTTTGCAAACTTAATTAGTATGTGGGAAGTCATAATCATAATCATGATAATTGTGGGATCAATCAATACAAATTGTGGTGTACTTTAATGTTTGACAATTCTCATACACTTGCTTCCTAATTATGCCCTGTGTATGGTATTAATTCCATTGATATAAAAAACCTGTTATTATTTCCAAAAAGAAAAAAAAAAAACCTGTTATTGCTTTTGCACCATGGAATGATTTGCATTGCGAACTGCCAAGCCAAGATAACATGATTGGATTGGGAAGAATGACCAGGGATCGAGTCTCACCAGCGGCAGTGTGGGAGCAACCTCTCAAAGTGAGAGGGGCTCCTTGTGCGCAGTGAGCACCGGTCTAGCCTCTGTGGTTCATGTTCAGTTGAGTCACCATGATTTACATCCTCCCAAATGCTCTGTCGGGCTGGGGTGTGGGGGGCCCTTAGGGTTGGAGTTCAGCCTTTTGGAGGAAGATAGCATGATTGGATGTGACTATATTATTAAATTAATATTTTTCTCGTGCGACATAATTTTAGAAATATTATTTTAATATTATGATACTAAGTAGATATAATTTTATTAAAATATAAATATAACTATACAATGTAATGAATTAAGTTTTCTATCTAAAAAAAAAAACTATACAATGTAATATTTTTAATTTTTTTAACTATAAAATATAAAACTTATTCATTTAAAAAGTTTATCAATGTAAGAACTATGTTGATTTTATGTAGAATTTTTCATTTTTTACATATGTGGAGTCCAATTATAATTGAGGTGTGATTCAATTATAATTAACACTAAATACAAATCAAGATCTCTTTATACACGTAATATTATCTTTTAAAGGTTTCATCTAATTTTAGTATTTAATGAATTTATAACTTTGTACGTATTTTTTAGCTTGTATCTTATGTGTTGTATAAACCAAACAATCTTTTCATATATATATATATATATATATATATATATATATATATATATATATATATATAATAACTTATTTTTGGGCATTACAAAAATAAAAAAAATTAAATTAATTAACATTTTTATAATATAATAAAAAAATAAAATTTTTAATATAACAAATGCTAGGCCAATACATGGTTGACCTAAAACTAACCCATTGTTGCAGCCTAATACCTAAAATTCATAAATATTCGCTATTTTTTCCCGCCAATATTGTTGTTGCTTTTTTTATTTTTTATGGTAAAGATAAATTGATTTTAGCTCATTTACTTGGTTAAATTTAGTCCACATATAACTACTCAAATTGACATTCAAATTTTTTGAATTTAGGCAGGGGTAACTCAAATATCAAGATCAGTAATCAATCAATTTGTTAATCATTAATGAATATTGTGTGCAACAGAGTTAAAGGGAAGTAGCTAAAGAACTAGTTTAAATAGTAGTTCAGAGAAGCATTCACACAGATAGCAGAAGCAATTAAGAAAAGCACACAAGAACAAAGGGAAGTAGCTAATGAAGTAGTTCAAATAGTAGTTCACATAAGCATTCACATACATAGCAGAAGCAATTAAGAAAAACACACAAGAACACGGAAAATTTGGTAACCTAGTTCGGAATAACTATTCTTAAATTTGGGGGCACCACATAAATAATTGTCCAATTCTTCATTCATAATCAACACCAAAGTTTTACCAACACAGTGATTAGAGTGAAGCACTTCGACTTCCATGGCTACTCCATAGCCTTCAAACGCGAAGACACTTGAAGAATTGGTGTAAGATTTTCCGATCATCCAAGTTGAGTTTCCCCCTCAACTGCAACTCTCCCGAGTTATTTTCTTGTGGTAACAGCCCGAAATCATCAAAGATCAAATCCAACTTGATATGAATTTAAATTCACCAAGTTGCTTTGTTAAGCTCCTTGAAAGTGCTCTTTCTATTTTCTGGAATTTTACAAAGTAATTCTAATTAAATCGTCAATTATAGCTAGAAGAGAGTCAAGGCATTTATATTTATCATCTGGATTAATCTGTAACAAAGTAAACAAACTAACTATCTTGAACTATCTTCTGAACTTGTCTTGGCAATTGATTCAGGCCTTGGTCTTCAATCTTCATTATCTGAACTATGTCTAAGTACAAGTACATACTCAATTTAAATTTAGTACAATTACAGAGATGAATTCTAAACGAAATCTTGAACTACTGTATTGTTGCATAAATCAAAACAACATGAAGGCCGGATTAAAAGATATTTGCTTTTATAAATTCTTTTTCTCAAGGATCTGTTTTATTAACATTTTCTAAATAAACAAAAAGTTTTTAAGTTCAAATCTAGTCACATACATCATATAAGTATGTGCGTGTTAATGTTAGACTTTTTTTTTTTTTTTTTTTTTGGAAAAAAACTTAATGCATTAAGTCAAAGGAAAGACAGTCAACAAGAAAATGAGGAGGATTGTCAAATCACTCTCCGTGATCTGACACAGAAACAGGTTCTCGAGTAACAGTGTGGGCAGCATGATTCACAGATCGCTTAGCAAAACATAAGTCTACACCATCAATCGTGGATGCAACTTCTTTAACATCGTCAATAATAAAACAAAAAGCAGAATTAAAAAAGTTCGAACATAAAGCATAATAAACTAACTGTGAGTCTATCTTAACATCAACATCACCCATTCCCGTTCCCTTCAGCCAACTGAGAGTTTCGCGAATACAAACAGCCTTAGCCTCAACCTCTTTGACACTGTAATTACCCAAGATGCACATTCCTTTTGCAGCCAAGAAACGGCCCTCATCATCTCGCAAGACCCAACCTAAACCCATTACATTGTTCTCTACATCCAGAGCGGCATCTGTATTCAACTTCAAACGTCCGTGAGACGGCACCTTCCATTTTACCAACTCAGCTCTCAACTCAGGATTCCCCTCACTAACTCATTCGCTGCCTTCTAATTCGCTAAATAAGTTAGGGATGTATGGATCACATTACTGCACTCAAAGGGGCACCTTTCCAAACATTGTCATTTCTACTGCCCCATAAACCCCAGCAAAGCATTACAAACTAGCATTTCATATCATCATTAAGTTTGGTAAGTAAATAAAAAAAACCAGTTAACAATGTTACCTTGACTATGCAGCGAAGTTGGTAGTCCCAAGCTAAACCACACAACCGCCACTTTCAAGCATTCCACAAACAAGTGATGAGCCATCTCCTCTACCCGGCCGCACATATGGCATAACAAGGAGCATGGAATCTGCTTCGAGAG